TAACCAAAAGTGATAGAAAAATGAAAAATTGAAAAACCCCTAATGGCTTTGTGAAGAGAGTGAAAGGAGGAGATTAAAAGGGAAAGGAATTGAATGCCGATGGTCGTCTCCCTCGTCTCGCCTATAACACTTTGCTTACATCCAGCCGTCATCGCCTAAGCTGCAGAGCTGTAACTTTACGCTATCGTTATTATTTTTAATTTAAATTCAATTTTTTGTTTCAGGATAAACTATAACCTTCCTCCTTAAATTATTTTCTCTCTCCTATTTAACTCAATATACTTACAACTTTTTTAATTTACTCACTAAACTTTTGAATTGCTTCTGTTATTATTTTTGTATATATGACATTTTTTTATTATTTAATATAAAATAATTAAAAATATAAAATAAAAATATAACGTAGTTAGATTTTACTGTTGACTACCGCCAACCGTCATAGATAATGGTTGTTCTGTCTCAAATTTTATGGGTTGATTTATCTTGACCCCTGAGTCCGAATCTGATGATTGTTTCAGTGAAAAATGTCTCAAAACCCATAAATATCGATCAAAATGTTTTGACTTTCTCATTTTCAATCTCTAATTCGTGGACTTCAGAGCAAGTTTCCACAAAATAGAGATTGGATTTGGACTTAATATGTCGAGACGAAACGACCCATGAAATTTGGAACCGACCACCATCTACGACTGTGGCATTCGAACACCTTCTATTTTTATTTTATATTAAATAATAATAATAAATATCATGTCATATAATAATAATAATAAAATAAATCAAAGTCATAAAAACAAGAATAATTTGAAAATTCAATAAAAAAAATTAAAAAAATTAAAAGTATAGTGAATGAAATAGGAGAGAGACAATATAATTAAACGAGAAAGGTTGTAATTTACTCTTTGTTTTATTTTATAGGAAATTACCAAAATGGTATTACTGGGAGTTATCCGATGCCTGCGGTCGCACCACGTTCATGGTACGGTTGTGGACCTGGTTGCTAAGTAGTGTGAGTGTATGGTCCAATGAGAATGAATAAAATTAATTCCGATATTTTCCCCTAAACATATACTCATTTTTATTTTTTATTAATCTCGAATAGATAATGATTTGCATAAATAATTCCGTATATGAAATATTTATTAATTATTAATAATTTTTAGAAGTTGATAAATTTACTTTTTATTAAAAAAATTGAAATAAAATTATTAAAAATAGCATGTGTACGGTTAATTATGAGAAGAATGATGTGATAAAAAACATAAGTCGAATTAATTTTTCAATATGGATAAATTTAAAATTATAATATTAGGTATGTTTTTTTAGAAAAAGAATAGTCAAATAACCAAAATAAAAATATAGGATATATGAGATATCAAATCGACAATTTATACTAAAGTTTTTCAAAAAACAATTATTTAAAATTAAGGAAAATTAAAAATAGGGTAAATTACATGTTTAGTACCTAAAGTATTAGTTTTGATCTATTTTAGTACATAAACTTTCAATTTTTTCATAATCATACCTAAATTTTAGTTTTTATTTTTAGTACCCGTTCAAAATTTAACGTAATTTAAAAAAAAATTAGGTACTAAAGCGGGACAAAACTAATAGTTTAAGTACTAAACATATTAAGTTTTTAACGGTGCAGTACTAAAGTGAAATAAAAACTAAATGTTAAGTTTGATTTTGAAAAAATTAAAGTTTAAGTACTAAGATAGACCTAAACTAATAGTTTAGGTACTAAATGCGTAATTTACCCTTGAAAATAATGAATATTTAAAAACTGATCATATTATTATACCTTAAGTAAATGATATTTATTTCAGAAAATATCAAGTGTTATTTTTTAATTGAACCGAAGGATTAACGAACAAATAATAACTTTTAAAATAATTTTTCTTTTACAAAATTGATATATTATTAATCTATTTATAACTTGTAGATAATTCATAATATACAGAGGTTATTACCATTTTTTATTATTTAGGAGGGCAAATTTCTTTTTAATAATGTACTGAAAAATTGGTCATTTATAGGGTAAAGAAAATTACTTCTTTAATTATAGTGTTTGTTACCGTTTGGTTGGCAAACATTCTCAACTCCCGGTAATTCTTTATTTCCAACAGTGATATTTTTGGGGTATATTATCGGAAACGTGATTACCCATTCCCTTAGGTATTGTTGGATTACCAGCGTTTTGGACTAAAATACCCTTAATTTTTTTTTTCAAAAATATCATTTTTCTGTCGTTGAATAAAAAAAGCCTACGATGTTATATTATAAATTTATCCTTAAACTATTTTAGATTTACAAAAAAACCTATAATTAGAATTGTATGTGTAGTTCAGGGGTTAAAATTAAATTTTACCATTTCATTAAACCTATTTATCTTTTCTATTTTGTAAAAATAAATATATAAATTTTATGAATTTAAAATTTTTAAATAAAATGTATAAATTAATTATAGTAAAATTATAGTATAATTCAACTTGTTAAAAAACAAATATATAATAAGGACAATTTGGTAAAATATACATTTAAATAATATTTTATTCCTTTTACCAAACATTGTAATCTTACATTGCTGCTAAACGAACCAAACACAAAATACAACATTCCCAGTAACTTATTCCCGCCGATAATCATATTCTATAACCGGTAATCTTTCATTCCGTGAACTAAACGCACCTTTAGATCATCTTACGACTTTAAGAAATTGTGTTAACCGTGAGGCGTCTTCCCCAAACTTTTTTGTATGCACAATAACTAGTGATACTCCAAAAATCATCAGATCACTCCGACCACCGTTGGATGTACATGGCCTCTAGGGCGAGGCTCACCTTATAATTTTTTGAAATAACAATTTTTTTTCTTGAAATTTAATTTTTTTTTATTAATTGTTCATTTTATTGATTGTGTTAATTTTAGTAAGTTTATGAGTTTACATAATAGTGTTTCATATATATACAAGCGTATATGTTTGGGTTAATTTCATTATAAATCCTTAGATTATTATTTAAAATTTTAAATAACCTTAAAATTTTATAACATTAGAATTAAATCTTCAAAATATTATTATCATATCAATCAAATCTCTTATTAATTTACATGAAATCAATCAAATCTCTAATTAATTTTGCATGAAATGTCATATTGAGTCTAATATGAAGCATGTCACGTGTACCTATTGGACAAACCTCTTTGTTAATAATATCATTTTTTAACGCATCATATACATGTGTTTATAATTTGATTATCGTAATTCAAAGTTACTCAAAAGTTTAAAATATAAAATACGAGAAATATAAGTGATCAAATAGATGGTTTGTCCTTTTATGTATGCAAGTAATTACTTACTGGCTTCGTTGCAGTTTCCTATATACCCAAAACCGCGTGAATTGAATATAGGAATTACTTTTTAGGGCAAATTATGTTTTTAGTACCTATATTATTAATTTTAATACCTGAACTTTTAATTTTTTTCAAAATTATATTTAAAATTTAAATTTTTATTTTATTCTAGTATCCTATTCAAAATTTAACGTTAGACTTTAAGAAAAAAAAATGAAAATTTAAGTACTAAAATGAATCAAAACTGATAATTTACATACTAAACGTGTTAAGTTTTCAACGGAAGAATAATAAAATGAAGCAAAAATTAAACATTACGTATGATTTTGAAAAAATTAAAAAACTAAATGCTAAAACAGATCAAAACTAATAATTTAGATATTAAATGCATAATTTATCGTACTTTATATTATCATTCTCGGAAGATGGGACGAACTCGGTTACTGCCTACTTTGCCCGATCCCATTCCTCAATTACTCAAACTGACTGTTTTTTTTTTATGAAGATTACTCAAACTGTCTGTCAAATTTTGTCTAAAGAGATCTCGGATTTTAAAACTAGACCCGCAAGAGTTTTGGAAATTTCGTTTTGGATCGTTTATTATCAAATAACTGAGAATCTTTCAAAAAGATACGACCTTATAATCAACACAGACTAATAAAAAATATATATCAAACAACCATCTTTATACATATACATGTGTATGCATATATATATATATATTAATCAAGGTCTATAGTTTCTCAAACATCAATTCTTCTGTTTTAAACAACAGTACTTCACCGAAAAGAACCAGCAACACAACTATGTTGCAGAAACCTGGGAGACGAAGAGAGGCTAAGAGCATTGGAATTCGAATCTCTTCTCTTCCAAAAGCATTTGAATCTACAAGGAGGCATGCTGAGACGCGACCAAGTGCACATTCATCAGTGTTTTTTTAATCATCTTGGGAGACAGTACAAGACCAACGGACACTTCAGTACATTCCACTCCGAAAGACCTGCGCAACATCCTGATTGATATTTAGAGCTAGTTAGAGTGGATGAGGTTCAAAGAGAATGCTTAAACCATTATCATATTAATTCAGCTACGAAAACATCCAGGAACTCTACGCAACTATGAGACACATCACGCAGAACAAAAGAACCCTTGAACTCATGATAGGGTTCAGCACAGATACAAAATTATAAACAAATCAAATTTAACAAGTCAACTAGGTTCAGGACGTTATCCTGATACCATACTCGTATTGTTGATAGTTACACAAGAGGAGCGTTTCATGCTTGCTTGCAAGCACATCAACAGTCAGAACGAAAGTAGGGATAAAATATTGAATCACAAAAACCCTTTACATCAGCTAGTCTTCAAAGATTTTGTTGAAAAAAAAATGCACAAGATAAAATCAGCTCGATTGAAGAAAATTAAAAATTATAAACTAACTGGTTTGTATGGGACATCTATGTTTCAAGTTGATGCATAAGTATAACTTACTCAAATGCATTCTTATGACAACTTCAACCGGGAAGCTGAGACAAAATCCTGCAGGAACTCATGCTCGTAACTTATCTTTAATAAACAATCTTGACAAATATAAAGCAAACATACAACAGTCAAGAATTAACTTCAAACGACAGTGTCAAATCATTGTACCTTTTCTCCTACAGCTTACCTTTTACCTTCTTTTTTTCACTTCACTATAACACTAATTTGAACCCTTCAGATAGGAAATCCTCCCTGAGAACCCCAGAAAAGATCCATCAGACTAAGTTGCACCAAAATAATTATAATGTCATTATTCATTAACATACAACAACTAGCATAATGAGGCTCAATTTTTCCATACTTTAGCATGTCCATGCCAAAGATAAAGTCTTGCCGCCTTCTTAAGGCCTCGTAGAAACCATAATGTCATTATGTACAACTACTTGCATAATGAGGCACTATTTGTCTATACTTTAGCATGCTAGTGCCAATGGCATTTGTTTTAGATTCAAACCAACAAGGTTCATAGTTTTCACAAAACAGCATCTAGTAAAACAGTAAGATACATTAGAGTTGCTTACATCTTCTTGATATCCCCATCGTCCTCTCCGTTCTGCTGCCTTTTGTCGACGTTAAGCGAAACAAGGCTTTGCAAGCAAACCTCAGTTTCATAAGAAAGGGGCATACCAGGGACCCAAACATCATCAGCTTTCAGCTTCACCAAATCATACCAAAACAGATTTATGTTATCATGTTCCAACAAAACTTGATTACCGCTCCTAGAGTAAGCCAGAGGCTTCAAAAAACTCAGAGGACCAATCACATCTTCTCTAGAAATAGAAAACAGTATAGTCCAAGACTTCTTAACCCCATATTCCTTCATCACCCAAACATCAACTCGAGCATCACCATGATTAGCTACCACACATAAACATCCCCCCAAAACCCCAACATTCAATTGAAATATGTCATCATCATACTCAGGTTGAGGCACTTCACTGTAACTTTCAGCAGCTAAATTCAAAGCAATGATCATATTTGTCACCAAAAGATCAACCTTTCGAGTCAAAACCCAGTGCAAAGCACCACCAGCAAAGATCCCATTAGTAGTTGGAAACGAAGAAACACAAGGGATGCCCTGAATTTTTCTCCACCTGTTTCTCTTCAAGCTGCAAACTTTAACCTCTGTTTCTAAAGGCTTATCACCATCAGCCCTCTCGAGCTGAATGATTTTCACCACTTTGTAATCATCTTTAATCGGGTCGTGCCCGAACCCGCAAACGTAGCCCTTGCAAGATCGGAGGTAAGGTAAGACTTGGTACTTTCTAGTGCAAGGGTTCCAAATCGCCATGTCTTCGACTATGTTGCGTATGCAAAGCAAACCGTTGCAAGAACCCAAGATCTCGACGCCGTGGTTGTAGCTCATCAGAGGGTGTTCGAGCTTGGCGAAAGGGCCGAGGGAAGAGAGATCGGCGGCGTGGAGATCGGTGTTTTTGAGGATCAGTGTGTGGTTAGTGCGGGTCCGGAGGGAGCGGCTGAGGTGGAGGTTGATGAAATCGGGATCGTCAATCAAAAATCGCCATAGCTTCGAGACAGATCGTAAGCGTAGAAGATGCTTAACGGGTAATCGGCTGAGGATGTCGGCGATTAAGTCGTGTGAAACCATCGTTTACTTTTTTTATTTCGGCTCCGATTCCAAAGAGTCAAGAGACTGGTAGAAATGAAAGGAAAGTGGCAATGGTTCTTTTTTCTGCCCCAATTTACACTTACGTGTGTTTAGTTCACAATGTAAGATTATCAATAGAATAAAAGATTATCAGGGAATAAAATTAATGAGAATATTGTATTTTATGTTTGGTTGGTTTAGTAGGAATGTAAGATTATCGTGTTTGGTTAAAGGAATAAAAGATTATTAGAATATATATTTGATCAAATTGTCTTTACTATATATTTGTTTTTTAACAAGATGAAAAATATTTATATATTTTCTTTAAAAAATTTAAATTCATAAAATTTATATAATTTTTTACAAAATTAAAAATATAAAAAGTTTTAATGAAAGGATAAACTTTTATTTTAACCCCCGAATTTTATATAAAATTTTAATTATATATATATTTTTTAAATCTAAAATAGTTTAGGATAAATTTATAATTTAACCTTAGTAGAATTTTTATTATTCAATGACAGAATAATGATATTTAAAAAAAAATTAAGGGCATTTTAGTTCAAAACGCCGATAATCCAACAATACCTAAAGAAATTGAGGTAATGACATTCCCAGTAATATACTCCAATAAATCTACTATTACTAATATACCCCCAACCAAACACATTTTTAAGGTCCATTTTAGCTTTTCATGGTCTAATTGCATATAGTCCCTGTCTTTTTTCGTTTTATACACAATTAGTCCTCTTGTATTATTTATTTTATTAAAAATGAAAATGATCTTGTACTTCTCGAAATACTCTTAACACATAAATACAGTTCAACATCGTAATTTTCTTTGGTTTAAAACATCGTAAATCTTTATGCTTAAGTAAAAAAAATCATATGTAACGTTGAAATAAAAATACTTACATATTTGAGCGATTTAAAGTAAATATTATATTCTTCTAAAATTTTAAATTTAAATAATTATATTCGTAAAATATATATAAAATTATAAACATATATTAACTTATAAATCGTGAAGTAATCTATTTGTTTCTATTAATAATATTACATTAAAATAGTTTCAATAACACACTTAAGGCTCTTAATCTTGTTGTCGTGGGATCGTATCTCACGGTGGGCAATTCATAATTCTGACTGTCGGAGGTCTTCCACGGAAACTACTCTCAACCTGACGTTGGGGACAACCTACTACCTCACCTCATTACATATGAGAATAGGATCAGCTAATTTATTTTTTACTTAATGGCATAATTATGCATTCATTCATGTAAAACTTTTACATCCATCAGATTTGTGTATCTCAAAATAAAAGAAAACGAAGAGCAACAAAAGCTTAAACGTCTCTCATCCATACGAAATCCAATCGGCCTGCAATCCCTTCAGTGAAAACATCATTCAGCAACGAAGGGCAAATTCAAAGGAGGAAATTGGGGTTTCCCGACTGAAATTATGCGTAAGCCCCAACTCGGTGTACAAAATCGGAGGGAGAGCAATCGCGATGGTTCAAGGAAATGACGATTTGACGTAGCGAGATTAAGAATCCTCAGTGGCGAATCCCAAATCTGGTCCTCGCCACTTCCAAGTCCCTCCACCGCCATTGCATGAGTCGTCGCCTTCCTGTCATTTCTTAAGAATATCGAATATGGAATTAAAAACCATTGTATTTATTGGGTTTACTGCAGGGGTTCTCTCTGGTACACTGCTTTATATCCGTGAGGATTTCCAAGAAGTTGAAAAGAAAACAAGGCTACAAGTTTTGAATTTTTTACCCTTTTTTCTGTGTGATGCATTGCTTTGATTACGGTTTCTTTGTTTCATTAATATGACGAAGTGATGTTTTTTCCTCCAGGAAGTCATAGTGAGTATGGCTGTAGCAGGTTCCATTTTCGATGCTGCAATAGGAGGATGGATGAACGATCGGGCGAAAGCTATCGATTTTGGTCGCCGATGTTCTCTTCTTCGTAGGTGCCGTAGTCATGGCTTTGGCCCCAGCTCCATGAATGATCATTGTTGGAAGAATTTTTGTTGGTTTTGGAGTTGGAATGGCCTCAATGACTGCACCTCTTTATATATCTGAAGCTTCACCAGCTAGAATCCGTGGTGCACTGTTAGCACCAATAGTTTGCTTATTACAGGGGGACAATTCCTTTCTTACCTAATCAATTTGGCTTTTACACATGTAAGTAATGATAATCACTGCTTGAGACTTTTAAGGGCAAATATTTGTAACTACAATCAATTTTTTCATCGTTGTGTTTCAGCCTCCTGTAACTTGGCATTGGATGCTCGGAGTTGCCGGACTGCCCGCTGTGGTTCAGTTCTTCTTGATGTTGTCGCTTCCCGAGTCTCCTAGGTGGCTATACAGACGGATTAGTGTCTTATTCAAATAAGTGACAAAGTTCAATAACATTTATTGTATCAACGACTTGATTATTACACTAAAATGTTCTGCAGAATAGAGTAGAAGAGGCAAGGTCCATCCTTGAGAAGATTTATCCAGCAAATGAAGTCGAAGCTGAACTAACTGCCTTGAAAAACTCCATCGAAGCCGAAAAAGCTGACGAGCAAGCCATCGGAGACAACTTGATAGCAAAGTTGAAAGGTGCATTAGGCAACGTTGTAGTCCGAAGGGGCCTATATGCCGGGGTAACAGTTCAAGTTGCCCAACAGTTTTCAGGCATCAAACACGGTTATGTACTACAGTCCAACAATAGTTCAGTTAGCTGGATTCGCTTTGAACAAGACAGCATTGGCGCTTTCTTTGATCACATCCGGTCTCAACGCGCTCAGTTCAATTGTTAGCATGACTTTTGTCGACAGATATGGTAGGACGAGAATGATGATTATCTCCATGTTTGGTATAATTACTTGCCTTGTGATTTTATCAGTTGTGTTCTTCCAAGCTGCCAGCCATGCTCCCAAAATTAGCCAATTCAAGTCGACTCACTTCGCTGCAAACGGTATGTCCGAGTTACATTTCCGCCCCCAACATCATGGAATTGCATGTCTTGCTTGAAAGCCGACTGTGGGTTTTGTTCCAATCGAGCAAATTAAGTTCTTCGCTAACTACATGAATGATGAATCCAACCGTAGTGATAATAATCTTCTAAGATTTAATCAGATCGATTTGTTCTTCTTTCTGTTCAGTATTCTCCAGGAGCATGCTTAGCAAAAACGAGAGACTTGGAAAACTCATGCCACAGACAAAATCGTACTTGGTTCAAAGAAGGTTGCCCGAGCAAATTCGGGGTTTTAGCCGTCGTCTTCCTAGGACTGTACATCATTTCATTCTCCCCTGGTATGGGAGCTGTCCCGTGGATCGTCAACTCTGAGATTTATCCATTGAAATACAGAGGACTGGGTGAAGGCATTGCTGCAGTGTGTAATTGGACCAGTAATCTCATTGTTAGCCTCACATTTTTAACACTAACAAAGACTCTGGTTCCTCCGGCACATTCCTTCTCTTTGCTGGCTATTGTATCATCGGACTCATTTTCATTTACTGGTTTGTTCCTGAAACCAAAGGGCTGCAAATTGAGGAAGTTGAGATGATGCATAAGTCTGGTTTCTAGCCATCGGCATTCAAGAGCAAGACAAATAGTTTTAATCAATCAACTTAAGCTCGATTTGAAGCCAAATTCGTTATTTAAGCTCAAACTTGCTCAAAATACAAGCAATTGAACTCAAATTCGAACTCAACCTTGTTCCACAACTTCTTTAGTAAAATGAATACATTTACAATATAACAAGTGGCTTGATATTCAGTATGTTCGATCTCTCGAGCTCAACCTTAGCTCAGAGAATCACCTAATCAAATTCGAATACTTTCCAAGTCAAACTTGAATGGTTTACAAGCACACGTGTCGCATTCAAACCCTATTCATTACCAAATACTTTACCAAAATGCCTAAACCCAATTGGGAAAAAAACAAACTCTTCAAAACTCAAACGAAGGTATTGATTGCAAGTATTCTGTACAACAAAACATGCTTTAATATCTACAGAACATAAAACAATATCGTGATGGAAATATATGGGTTTAAACTGGTTCATTGACAATCTGGGGTTGTCAAGAGTGAAGAAGACTTCTGATTGTGCCGAAGGAATGGTCTCTTTCTCAGCTGTTTGAAAAATGGATCTGATTGGTACACTTTTTGATCTGCTTCGGCTCTAAATATAAACCCCATCAAGTCCAGATGCAGGAATCAAAATAGCAAATCAAGACATCGTTGAGACTTCTAAACGTATCACACAATAAAAGCTACCAAGATTAATACATGGACCCAAGTTGAGCATTCTATAAACTAAAAAAAAAAAACTTGTAAACATATTATCATTCAAAAGTTTGAGAATTGTCCAACTTTTTTCTGCCAAATAGCAAAGCCCAGTTCATATGTCAATTGTATTTGACTTCCCAAGTCAACTTTAGGGAGATCCGCAGTGAGAAAAGGATAAGATACAAAGCTTCAAGGGTTGTCTAAAACATGGTCTTGGTTTTAAAAAGCGTAAAGCGCCCTAAAGCGCCTAGGGTCCTAGACGCCGAAGCTCTAAGCGTTAAGCGAAAGAGCTCGCTTTATGCACAAGAAGCGCCAGAAAGGCCGAAATTCACAAAAAAATACAAAATATTTATAAATTATCTTATAAATACTTAAATATCAAAGTGTCAATACATATATTCAAAACTTATAAGTACTTAAACACCAAAATATAATTCTCAATTTACTTATAACTTATAAGTTATAAACACTTAAATACTTATATACGATTAACCATACGACTATACGAGCATACTAATCTCAAAAGATGGTCTACACTAAAAGTAGTCTAAAGTGAGATGAACAAAAGTATTTTTCTAAACCCTCAATTCCTTATAACTAAAAATCCTCTAAATCGTCATCGTCATCAACTCGGACAACACCATCTCCTTCATCACTATACACTCCAATATCTTCTTCCATCTCATCTTCATCAACTAAGCATCTACGAGATGGTCTACTAGAGATAGGATTATGAGAAGGAGATTTACCTTTCTCGATGGTCCGGCTCCATCATTCACTACTTTTGATGCTCTAGTTAGATAACTAGGCTCATATGCACCGGAAGCGTTAGCAACATCACTCTATGTCAAATCCTCACCAACAAACACCGCCTCATCATCATCTTCATCTTCTTCCATTCTTCCCATCAACCACTCATTGCTCTCATCAATATCTTGCAAAAGAATGGGATCGGTCTCCTTACTTTTAGCTCGGCGCTCCAAGGCATGATTGAATTTCACAAACACCATGTCATTCAATCTAGATTGTGCCAATCTATTTCGTTTCTTAGTGTGAAGCTACAAGAAAAAAAAACCAAAATTGATAATTTAATAGCCTGCTAAACCCTAAATAAGCCCAAAAATCGTATCTGCTAAAGCCCAGAATCGTATCTTCTAAACTCGCGATTAAGCGCCGATTAGCGCTTTGCTAAAAGCGCTGCAAAAGCGCCGATTACTACCGCTTAATGAATTCGTAGTGCTTTTGCTATGCTGAAGCGCCAGGGGCCTCGCTCGCGTCGCTTAGCGCTTTAATCGCGCTTAAGCGGCGCTTTTTTAAACTAAGAACATGATTATAACAAATTTAAGTCAATTTCTAATCCAAAAAAAAAAAGTCAACCGACAAAAGACTAAGCTCAGAAAATAACACAAAAATATAAAACTCAACCTCAATGAAAACATTAAATAAAGCAAACTGAATTGGTTACCTTCATAGATAAGACGCCATTTAACTTCGTCCGAACTTTGCTCATACTGCATATTTTCCTCATTTTGATTATAAGACCAATTTGAATCCTTTTGAAAGGAAATCATCCCTGAAAAAACAAAACACAGGACCTTTATTAGACATTACCTCATAGGGCATTGAGCGGTTCAATGCACTCGAATCCATATTTTCCAAGTTACTCAAACAGCAAAAGTGTCAATTGAGCTAAGGCTCGGTTGCAAAAGACAATCTTAAGAAGTGCTTCAAACAAGTTGGAGTTCCACCATTTTTTTACCTCTTCTTACAACTTTCGTTCTTCCGTTTCTCTAGTTCGTTTTGCTTCTCAATTTGCATCCTTTTTGGGTCATCGATTTGAATGAGGCTTCCTATATAAACCTCAGCACCAAATGAACCCGGACTACCACCGATCTTCACACTTCGCATCTTCTTCTTTTGTAGATCATACCAGACAAGCTTTTGGCTATTAATCTCGAACAGAACCTTATCAAGATCCTTGGAATAAGCTAACGGTTTAAGAAACGCTAGGGTGTTAATGGTTCTACTTCTTTGAACAGAAAGCAGCAGAGTCCAAGATTCTTTCACCCCATATTCTTTCATAAGCCAAACATCAATCTTCTCTTGGTCATAATTACAAACGGCACATAGGCGTCCCTCCAAGACACCCACATCCAACAGATAGCTCTTATCAGCGCAATTAGGTTGAGGCACTTCGATGAACTCTTCTGTTCCGAGATCGAAACCAACAATCGTATTCCTCATTCCGAATTCGATCCTTGGAGGCATCACCCAATGTAAAACCCCACCGGCCAGCACACCATAGCCTCGTCTATGCAAGAGATGGTAGAAAAATTGGAACATAAACCGAAGATAAAAAGGAAGCTTAGTGATTTTACTCCAAGAGTTATTCTTTAAACTATAAACCTTAACCTCGTAATCGAAATAATAACTTTCGTTCTCTTCATCGTCAGTTTTATTGAACGTCGCCATTCTCAGGACCTTGTAATCGTTAGTTTTAACATCTAGCCCGAACCCATAAAAAATATACCCAGATTTACACGATTCACCTGACGGAGGATCGATTTCCGAAACGGGCAGTCGACGAAACTGCCGCGTGGACGGATTATAGTAGGCGAGATTTTTATCGCTGAGACTGAATGTGAGGATTCCGTTACACGAACCAAACACTTCAGTCCTAGCTCCGCTACTCAAAGGGTAATCCAGCGGAACGGCGTTATCCAGGTAATCGAATTCCACGGAATAGAGATGCAAACCTTTGAGGATGATGTTGAGATTCGATCTGGTCTTGATGGAACGGCTCAGATGGTCCTTGATGAAATCAGGGTCGTCGATTAAAGAGCTGCATGCCTTCGACAAGGCCTTGAAACGCACCAGGGACTTCACCGGGAGACGATTGAAGATATCAGTGATTACATCCATGGGAAGCTTAGTCAATTTCTGGGTTTAGGGTTTAGAGGTGTTTTCTTTGAGATTTTTGGGGTTTGTTCGAGGGAAAAAGAAAGAATCGATTAACGTCGAGAGCGAATATAGTGGGGCGACGGTGGTTGGACAAGTGGTTAGAGAAGGAAATGACAACAATGGGCAATCTGCTTTATATGCGAACACGTGTCTCATTGTTATCCCTTACCTTATAAATGTTCCCGTTAAATAATACGTTATTTTATTGAGTATTTCGATTATTAAAAATTATATAATAATTATAAAATTATTTATATGTTTTAAATTTTTTTTAAAGTAATAATATTTTGAGTTAAAAATTAAAATATTGATTGTAATGTGATAAAGTTTAATTTTAAAATTTTAAACGATTATTACAATTTAATCAATATGTTAATTTAGACGATTTTCAATTTTTTAACGTGAAAATAATTGAAATAATATAAATAGTCGGCTGACTATTTTATATCTTTTCATAGTTGAGGATTTTACAAAATAATATTTTATAGTCGGGAGACTCAATAAAACAATATCCAATAATCGAAAGGTCATTTGTATACTTTACTTTATAATAATAATAATAATTAGGGCAAATTACGCTTTTAGTACTTAAACTATCAATTTTGATATATTTTAACACATAAACTTTCATTTTTAAAATCATACATACAATTTAGTTTTATTTCATTTTAGTACTTCGTTCAAACTTTAACGTTAATTTTAAAAAAAATGAAAGTTTAAATACTAAAATAGACTAAAATTGATAGTTTGGGCATCAAACATGTTAAATTTTTAATGAGTACTAGAATAAAACAAAAATTAAACTTTAAATATAATTTTAAAATAATTAAAAATCTAAATATTAAAACAGACCAAAACTAATAGTCTTACGAGGTATAATACATAATTTAGATAGATAATAAGATACATCTCTTCTTTACCTTTAAACTAAGGGCACTAATGTTTTTTGGATCAAAAGTTTTACTCTTTATTTAAGGGTCTAATAAGAACTCTAAATATTAAGAGTCCATGATCCTCATGTTGTTTGCAATGGTAATAGAGTGGGTATTTTTACGGATTTGAATTAACCTTAAATTTGATTAAAATTTAATTTAATTATTAATAATTAATTAGTATGGTGAAATGTGATCCTAGATTTTTTTAATCAGTCAAAAGTTTAAACCCTACATTTAATAGAATAAATTGAGTTGAGATGATCGTTCCATATTGGATCTTTACATTTATTGATCTAAATTTATCAATAAATGTAATTAAAAATTTAATTCAACCTGAATTAATATAATTTTTAATATTTTAAACATGTTTAAAAATTAAAAGCCGTTGAATAAAGTTATAATTTATTCAAATTAATAACATAAAACAATATAAATTTTAATTTAATCTCATAATTCAAACACTTTGTTTGATTATATGTCAATTTTTTACATGTATTTTTATCAAATTGAATTAATAATATATAGATATATTACTGTTATATATATGTGTAATTATCTCGGATATAAACAAAAGAATTTCTTTATAAATTCAAATCTGATTTTGTTAAATTTAAAATTTTATTATATTAAAGTTTAAATATTTTTTCAAAAACAATCCGACCATTTCCATTAGGTATATAAAAAAAACCAGTGACATTTTTATGGGAAAATTACACATTTAATACTTTAAATCATAAGTTTGTCTATTTTAATATATAAACTTTTAATTTTTTTCAAAATCGTACCTAAAAATTGACCAAATTGACCACAACCAAATCCATAAAATTTAATAGGTTGATGATTGATATTATCATATTTCAAATGTGATTGATTTAAGATAATTTTAAATAAATTAAAATTGACCATTTTTTTTTAAATCATCTTTCTCTCGCTGACCAAATCCAGATTTGAAAAAAATGTGATTAATTTGGTCAGCAAAATCCAGATTTGAAATATGATCAGCGAGAGGAAGATGATCAGTAATTGACAAAGACGGTCGACATCCCAAATACTGATGTATGGATTCCTGATTATCTTCCTCTCGCTGACCAAATTGACCATAGCCAAATCCATGACATTAATAGCCCTGTCAATGCCTTCACCTCTTCTGACAGTAATTGGGATGTCGACTGTCTTCTCCAATAACTTGGGGAGGATCTTTCTCGCCGGGTCCTCGCTATTCCTACGCATTACTCTCTTGCTGGTAGTGACCGCCCAATTTGGCGTTGGGAGCCCACTAGGCAGTGCTCGATCAAAACAACCAACCATAATTTCAACGACGATCGTTGCCTTGGAACACGGAGGATAAGGTTTGAAACATGGCTTGGCATTTTGATAGACCCCAGCGAATTAGACAATTCAGATGGCTAATTATTCGGAACAGGTTAATGACCAATACTGAGCGCACTACACGCCACATCAGAACAATCCCATCCTGTCCAGTCTGTGGTATTGGAGACTAGACGTTTCTACATGTGCTTAGAGACTGCCCCTCTGCTCGAATGGTTTGGTCTCAGCTTAGGCGATTTGATCTAACTAACACTGTTTGAACTTAATATGCTCGAATTAACAACGTGTGATTAATATTTTTCGAAGTAACACCCTTTCGGCTGAGGTGGCACAAAGACACATCTTTGGGGATACGTTTTACCTGTGTTTTAGCTGACTGGGATGCCACGCGAGTAAGGTGCATCTATAGAGACGCGCTTTCTCGGGGTTTAGTTAACTGGGATGCCACATGGGTAAGACGCATCCTCAGGGACGCGTCTTCCATTAAATATTATTAATGCCCACCCGTTTTTTTCTCACCTACCACCCTCCTCCTCCCCTATGTAAACCCCTTCAACCCCCTCATTCTTCACACTAAAACATTTATTCATCTCTTATATAACTCAAATTCTCCTTTCATTTGAATTTTAAATTTCTTATTAATAGTAAGAAATTTATTTTTAAGTTAGTATTTTTTTAAATAGTTGTTATATTTTTATTAATATAATTATATAAATATTATTTTTTTATTAAAATAATATTTATATAATTATTATTTATTTAAATTTATTAATTAATCATTATTTGTACTAATTATATTTTTTGTCTACAGTTATAATGAAAAGTGAAATATTGTTGCGATTAGATGCAAACCATATCTCTAGACATTTTAGTGATATGATAATATTTTTTTAAAATTTATGTTAATATTTATTATTATTTTTAATTTAAATTTATCATGAATTTATATTAATTTTAAATTTTTGGAATGCTTATTAATTAGGAAATGATCATATTTTATAGACATTTATTAAAAACCCACGTATACCGACACCAACACGTATTTTGCCGTATCTATCTTCTGCCTGGTTCGGGTATATTGCAATAATTATTGGCGGTTGCAAACTCGAACATGTCCTAATTTCTGCATTGATTGAGAGGTGGAGGCCCAAGACACACATTTCATTTTCCATGTGGAGAGTCTACAATTATATTGGAGGATGTCTCTATGCATATGGGGCTTCCCGTCGACGAAAATATTATGTGTGGTGTGGCCGATGGTAATTGACAGTCAATGTGCATGAAGTATCTTGGAGCTGCTCCGCCAGAGTTTAATGGAGGTAGAATAGCTTTATCATGGCTGAAAGTTAATTTTGAAGTTTTGAATGAAAATGCTTCTGAGGATGAAGCAAAGGCATGTGCTCGGACTTATATTCTATGAATCATTGGATGAATATTGATGCCCGACAAATCTCGCAACTAGGTGCATTATATGTGGTTGCGTCATCTGATTGATTTTGATGAAGCTGGAAGATATAGTTGGGGCGCTGCAGTTTTGGCATTTCTCTTTAGAGAAATGTGTCGTGCAACGAATTATAAAAAAACTGCTATCAGTGGATGTCTCCTGCTTCTCCAATCATGGGTGTGGTTTCGTATGCATCTCTTATGTCCGATTGTTAATGAGTCATGCACATTCCCCTTATTATTGAGGAAATTTCTGAACTAAATTTTGATTTAAATATTTTTAATTAAATAAGGTGTTATTTAGTTTATATTATATTTTATAGGTGATCGATGAAAAGAAAAAATCATAGAGATATCCCTACTGAACTAGAGGAAATTCATTTACTTATTGATAAAAAAGCTAGGTCTGAGGTATATTTTTAAATCTGTTTAAATATGAATAATTTAATTTAAAATGTTAGATATAATTAGAATATTATATTTATTTGAATTGTATATTTATATTTCAGTTTCAGTGGATACCTTATGCGAGCGATGAAGTAAAGGCTTGCATCTCACCCTACCTGAGTGGGTCATTAGATGTTTGGATGTCAGTTGTACCTCTTATATGTTATGCTATTGTTGAGTGGCATCCGGTTGACCGTCTGTTCCGTCAGTTTTGTTGTACGCAATATATTCTTGGAGCACCTAGGAATTTAGTCGACATGCATAACATAGACAGACAAGGAAAGAAAAAGGTCAACTGGCTGGTGAGACACAGAGATTGGATTGTGATTTGGGAGAACCGGTATGCACAGTTGCCCCCTCGACAATTTTACGCTGAAACTGGTCATATAGTTACAGATAACTATATGGAGTGGTTTAATGCAAACGGAAAGTTGTTTCTACTTTCGGCGGAAGAACGAGGGGTTAGCATTCATAGGCGCCGAGATAGACGTCCACCGTCTCAATATCATCGTCCCCCGACTCGTGGACAGAGAGAATACGCTACCGGTTTGGCATCAGTCCCACCACAACATCCATATCCACCGATGATGATGCCACAGGGTATATGTCCAGCCCTCCAGTTCAGATGTCATCTCTGCAAAGGTATATGCCAAGCCTACATGTTCACATGCAATCTCCGCAGGGTTATATTCCTAGCCCACAGGGTTACATTCCTAGCCCACAGGGTTACATTCCTAGCCCGCCAGGTTACATGCCTAGTCCGCAGGGTTTTATGACACCCTATGGAGGTGCATATATGGCTATGTTTAATGATCCAACATATGATTCACATGCATCTTATTTGGTTGGTGGTGCTTCTCCACAGACACCTCAATCTCCATCTGGATCACAGACATCGATGCCA